TTGATTTGATTGATTTGATTGATTTGATTGATTTGATTGATTTGATTTGTTAAGGCTGCCCAATTAGAAAAAGTTGGTCAGTTTACAATATATCCAATCAGCATCTTGAATTGCCTCCAGAATGTCAGCCTTTTAAATATACCAGACTAAACAAAAATCATGAACGTCAATACGTCAATTAATTTTATTAAAAAGTTACAATAAAAAAATCTTGCAAGTCTGAATACATGGGATGAATGCACAGGAGTGTCAGGTCTGTTACCCCTTGAGGAAGTCTAGACAGCAAAGCAAAATCTCTAAAACTAATTCTATCTTTATTGTAAAGTTATAGTAACATAATCTTGCAAGTCTGAAAGTACTTCTCTCCTTCCCGGCCTTAACTTTCCAGAGATCTGGGTCCTTCTGAGATGCTTTGGACTTTGATTTCTCTTACCAAACTATTGTCTAGGCAGTGGTTCTTTCTTCTATCTCCCAAGGTTATTTTCACCGTTGATTAAAAGTTTTTTAAAATTAAGTTCTGTTTTAGGCTAAAATTTATTTTATCTGATGATTTTCTCGATTGTGATTCATCCTCTTATTCCTCAAGGTTATTTCTACTCCTCATTTTGTAGAAGTTGACTGGTAACCAATACAAGTTAAATAGCAGTGATGACACACGGGCATAATTGGAAGCACCCTTTACTGCTCACACTGTTACATTTTAAACCATCTGCATCTTCCAGATGGTCTTCAAGGGAAGCCCCATGCAAAACACATTGCCATAGTCCAATTGTGAGGTGCCTAGGGTGTAAATGAGCATCTGAAGGGCTTCCCTGTTCAAGAATGGGCACCAACAATGCCCAAGATAAACTTGTGCAAATTCTGGCCATAAATATCACCTCCTCTTTGAACAGTAGCTGTCACAAATGTTGAAAAGCTTCTTTTTTCTCTCTCCCTATTTTTCTACTTGCATTTTTACATGCTTTTGAACTGTTAGGTTGGCAGAAGCTGGGACAAGTAATGGGAGCTCACTCCATTATGCAGTGCTAGGGATTCGAACTGCCAAACTGCCGACCTTTCTGATCGACAAGCTCAGCGTCTTAGCCACTGAGCCACCGTACCCCTTAGGTTTTATTATCCATTCCTTCATATGCGTGCAACATTAATTATTGGTTTCTTCCATTATTCCTTTTCTTTTTTAGTGCAAAATAATTTTCAACTATTGAGGTTTTTTTCCCCCTCCCCTATAAAAATTTCACTTGTTACTCTTTTTCCACCCTCTTTTTCAGCTTTAAATGAGCCAACCATAGACTATGGTTTCCAAAGACTCCAGAAGGTCATCCCGAGACATCCTGGTGATCCAGAAAGACTAGCAAAGGTAAATCTCACTTCCTCACCTATTGACTTCATTCACATAACAAGTTAAAAGATAATGGCTTCATTGGTCTGGTCTTCTGAATCACAAACCAACTTCCCACGTTTAATTCTACCATTGTTTACCCAACCCTGATCTGTGTAGCCAATTTATACACAATACAGGTAGTCCTTGACTTATGACCACAACCGAGCCCATATTTTCTTTTTTAAAAAAAAAAATTTTTTTATTGGTTTTTAAAACAAACATAAACAAACAAAACATAAAAACATCAAGTCATCTTCCATATATATATACATACAGTGTGCCAGTTGGTTTACAAATTGTTTTGTGCTTCCATTTCGTAGTCTTCAATTACAATTACATTGTATATAATCTCGTATTTTCAATCAAATATTAAATACATTAATATCATTATTATTAAATCATTTGACTATACTTTTATTCATTCATGTTTTACGAAATAATCATATTTTACTTAATTTGTTTTATGACAGTTCATATTATCATCCCAAATCTATCCTAGAATCATTTTGTAGATATAATAAGAAAAGAATACATCTTTATATATTTATTATTTTCTAAAAGTCTACATATTTCATTATTATATTTTATTGTCTAACCATTAATAGAGTAGATCCCAAATTTTATAAAATTGTTTATCCTCTTGTTCTCTAATTTCAAATGTCAATCTACTCATTTCAGTACATTCCAATATTTTCTTAATGATTTCCTCCTGTGATGGTGTTTTCTCATTTTTCCAGTTTTTAGCAAATACAATCCTAGCCGCCGTTAATACATTTACATTCAGGTATTTCAAGTCTTTACTATATATTTCAGGTAAAATTCCCAAGAAAAATATCTCTGGTTTCAAATCTATGTGGGTTTTTTTGTCATTTTTTCCAACCATGTGTGGATTTTAGTCCAGTATTTTTTAGCGTCCACACAAGTCCACCACATATGGTAATATGAGCCAGGTGTCTGATGACATTTCCAACATTTTTCAGATTTATTCTTGAACATTCTTGCTATTCTTGTTGGGGGGAAATGCCACCTGTAAAACATCTTATACAAATTTTCTTTATATGCTGTTGACATTGTCATTTTATAATTTTGAGACCACAATTTTTGCCATTTCTCTAAATCAATCCCATATCCAAAATTCTTCCCCCAAGCAATCATAGTTTCTTTAACTTGTTCTTCTTCTAGTTTAATTTCTAATAAATATCCATACAATTTTTTAATCACCTTTTCATCAGTACCTGTCAAAATCTTATCTAAATCAGTCAATTTATCATAGAAACCTTCTGTTTTAGAATCTTTATCATACCTTGAATTATTTGCGCATATGAAAACCAATTCATCATTATACCTTGTTCCTCTAGTTTTTGTATAGATTTAAGTTCACTCTTTTCATTCAATATTTCACCATATCTAACTGTTTGTTCCTTTTTGTATATTATAGGATAAGAAAATGCTTCAATAGTCGACAGCCAGACTGGAATTTTCAAATAACATTGTCTTTTAATCTTCTCCCAGTTTAACCACAGAGACTCCCGTATATAATGTCTTCTAAAATACCCCTGTGTTTTAGTTCCTTTATACCATAGAAAAGCATGCCACCCCAACAACAGATCATGTCCTTCTAATGTTAACAATCTAGCATTTCTTTATGTTATCCATTCCTTAACCCACATCAAATTTGTAGCTTGGTAATACAACTCCCAATTAGGCAAACCAAATCCTCCTCTTATTCTAGCATCTTGCAAAAGTTTTAACTTTATTCTCGCTTTCTTACTTTGCCATATACATTTCAACACAATTTTATTTAAATCTTCAAAGACTACTTGAATTGTTTGAAACAAATATAAAATTCTGGGTAATATATTAATCTTGATTGTTGATGTTCTCCCTATTAATGACAGTTGTAAATTTTCTCATTTCACCAAATCTAGCGCTATCTGCTGTTTAAGTTTGATATAATTATTCTCTTTTAGTGTACTGCATCTTGCTGTCAAGTATATCCCCAAGTACTTGATCTTATTCGTAACCTGAATTTTCAATAGGTCTGCCAATTCTTCCTTTTGTCTTGATAGCATATTCTTTGTCAAGATCTTTGTCTTATCTTTATTTATTTTCAAACCGGCCACCTTTCCATATGTCTCTATAACTGAGCCCAAATTTTCTATTGTTAAGCAAAATATTTGTTAAGTGAATTTTGCCCATTTTATCACTTTTCTTGCCACAGTTGTTAACTGAATCTCTGCAGTTGTTAAGTTAGTAACATAATTGTCAGAGATGGTATTCAGCAGGTTCTGACCAGTTTTGGAGAACAAGTAGCAGAAATTTTGAGTAGTTTGGAGAACCAGTGTCAACCTTCCCCCAGGAGTGGGGTGGGAATGGAGATTTTAGAGCATCCTTCCCCTGCCATGCCCACCAAGCCACACTCCCCAAGCCATGCCATGCTCACCAAGCCATGCCCACAGAACTGGTAGCAAAAAATCTTTAATTCCACCACTGATAATTGTTAACCTGTCTTCCCCATGGGCCTTGCTTATCAATAGAAAAGCCAGACAGGGCATAACAACCCAATTGCAAGCCAGATTACAGTGGAACACTACAGCCATCATAAATATGAGTCTGTGGCCAAGCGTCTGTATTTTGATCACGTGACTGTGAGGAAGCTGCAAGTGTGAAAAATGCTCACAAGTCATTTTTTCAGTGCCGTTATAACTTCAAATGGTTACTTAACAAATAGTTCTCAGTCAAGGACTACCTTTATATTGTATGTCAGCCCCTCAATACTGTATGCTCGGTATATTGTGAGTTTATTTATTTATTAAACACATTTCTGTGTTGCCACAATCCAAAGAGACATTCAGTAGCTTGCAGAGAACAGACACTGGTTGAAACATACACGATGGTGTGTGTGTGTGTGGGGGACAACAACAACTCTACACTCAATAAAAATGAAAGTGGTACAACATGCAACATAAAATGAATAAAATAAATGAAAATAAAGATGAAATAATTAAGTAAATCATGATTGACTCTGGGCAGACTCATGATATGAACTGATGGATTGGTTTGGTTTAGTTTAACATAGTGTTTTTGTAAACCATGCTTTATGGCTTAGCCTGTTCAGAGCAGGGGTGGGATTCTACTGGTTCAGACCAGTTCGAGTGAACCAGTAGTTCCAGAGATCATTTTCCCCCCACACCCGCAGTCTGTCCTTTATTTCCATGTTTTGCAGCTTAGCTTATTCGTGCGGCACAGTAGATTGCTGTGCCGTAGCTGTTTTACTTACCAAGGCTGCAGTAGAAGCATGAGAGCTGAAAAAGGGCAGTTTTCAAATGCTGCAGGGACAACACAAAGTACGTGTTTGGAGCAGGTGCACTCACCAAACTGGTAGTTACACTGGTTGAATCCCCTCCCTGGTTCAGAGCATGATTGAATTAAGGAAGCCTGGTTAAGTGTGCTCTTCCCTCTATTTGTTTTCATGGCCAAAAGCTACCGGGAGTGCATAAACAGAATGGTGAAGTATGAATTACTAATAAATAATAATAATTTTAAAAAAACACTAGTGTTTTTTTTAAACACTAGTTTTTGTTGTTGTTTTTTAAAAACCACTAGCATTTGTCCTGCTTGATTTCAGCGTCCGTTGTGTTTCACATTGTGCTTGCCTGTTTATTTTATTTATTTATTTTTATTTGATTGGCTTTGTCAATCGCTTACAAGATAACAGGTATAAGTATAAACGTAGTTATGAATACATGAAATGGATACGTATAAGAAAAATTAAAAAAAGAAACAATAGGACAGGGACTGTAGGCACGATTTGTGTGCTTATGCACGCCCCCTAGCTCTTACTGCCACATTTTTTTCAATGCCTGACATACCCTTGGTTGTCCTTCCTTTCTGCTTGCAGGAGATGCTTTTGAAACGAGCAGCTGACCTAGTCGAAGCACTGTATGGGACACCACATAACAATCAGGTTAGAGTTCCTCTCTTTTTATCTTGTGAATGTGTAAAGAAAGCATTGGGTTTGCAGCATCTTCTGATTCACCCTTTCACCTACCTACTTGAGTGGAACTGACGAGGCTTAATGCTCCATTAAAACTCCTCTATAGTCTTACCTGGGGGGTAGTTCTCATGCTTGTAAGTATATAAGAATTTATCTGCCATTTCAACCCAGAAATTCATTCAAAGAAGAGAATTTCTTCTTCCTCTAAACTCTGTTGCAGACGATGGGCATACAACCCACTAGTTCTGTTGTTCCTCCATCATCCTGTTTGATGAAATTTCTAGTATGCTGTTAGTTTTCTCCTCTATTGGATTAGTTTATTACTATTCAAACAGTCTGCAAACAGAAAAGGTTGGCTTCTACAGAAACTACTAAAAGTTTTATAAACATTTTTAAAAGCTTGTAATTTTGGAGATCTTCCTTTACCCTGTTTTTTATTTCTTTGCCTTTAATCTACCAATTTTTCTAGTCTTCTTTTTCTATATTTATTCATTCTTCCTCTCTCCTTTTCATTCAGTGCCCTCCCAAAACAGGGACAGATAACACCTGTTAGAGTTCTCAATTGTCAGGATCCAGAGGGCTTTTAGGTTATTATGTTTTGCAGCTTTAGAACCCACAGATGGCTCACTTGGGCTCTAGGTGAGGATTGAGTAGTATTTTTTCTACACTTCTCATCAGAGTGACTTTATTTATTTATATTTCATGTTTCTAGACCGTTCATCTCCCTCAAGGAGAGCTATTTCAGATGTCAAAAGTTGATGGAGTTGAGGCAAGTGAGGGGGGAGGGGTACCCCTTTTTCTTTTTCTGGTATCTCCTCCTTTATCCTCCTTTATCTTTCCTTCTGATACCCTTTTACTCTGTTAGTCTTCCACTGCACAGAGAGGCCACACCAAAAGGAACAGTTTATTTTTTTCAGTATGAAACCTTTGAGGAAGAGGACTTTTAAATTATCCAGTTAGCAGCAGCAGCAGCAGACCTGATCTTGATATTTTCCTACACATTTTACCATCTCAAGACACATGTTTGCTGAACATCTGGGAAGGATTTCTTCTTCTTCTTCTTCTTCTTCTTCTTCTTCTTCTTCTTCTTCTTCTCCTTCTCCTTCTCCTTCTCCTTCTCCTTCTCCTTCTCCTTCTCCTTCTCCTTCTCTCCCTCCTCCCTCCTCCCTCCTCGCTCCTCCCTCCTCCTCCTCCTAATTGGTAAAGCAAATCAGTCCCCTTGGAATAAAATTTATGCTGATTTTTGTTGTTGTTTGCTTGTTTCAGGACATTATTCTGAAGCGAGCTGCTGATATTGCGGAAGCTCTCTACAGTGTCCCAAGAAATCCAGGTCAGATCCCTACTTTGTCCAGCTCTCCTGCTCACAGTGCCATGATGGGCATCAACTCCTATGGCAGCCAGTTGGGAGTCAGCATCTCTGAGTCCACACAAGGGAATAATCAAGGTAAAAGTGCTGAACTGAAAGATACACAATGAATGAAGGTTTTGCTTCAAGAAGATTAAGGCCAGAAACTGGGAAATATTAATCATGGCCCAATCCTGATTTTGTTGTTGTTAGTCGCAAAGTCATGTCTGACCCATCGCGACCCCATGGACAACATTCCTCCAGGACTTCCTGTCCTCTACTATCCCCCAGAGTCCATTTAAGCTCATGCCGACTGCTTCAGTGACTCCATCCAGCCACCTCATTCTCTGCCATCCCCTTCTTCTTTTGCCCTCAATCATTCCCAGCATTTGGCTCTTTTCCAGTGAGTCTTCCCTTCTCATTAGATGGCCAAAGTACTTAAGTTTCATCTTCAGGATCTGGCCTTCCAAAGAGCAGTGAGGGTTGATCTCCTCTAGGACTGACCAGTTTGATCACCTTGCAGTCCAAGGGAGTCGCAGGTGTCTTCCCCAGAACCATACTTCAGAGGTTTCAATTCTTCGGTGCTCAGCCTTCCTTGTGGTCCAACTTTCACAGCCATACATTGCAACTGGGAAAACCATACCTTTAAGTATATGCACTTTTGTTGGCAGGGTGATGTCTCTGCTTTTTAGTATGCGTTTAGATTTGCCATAGCTTTCCTCCCCAGGAGCAAGTGTATTTTAATTTCTTGGTTGTAGTCCCCATCTGCGGTGATCTTGGAGCCCAGGAAAATAAAATCTGTCACTACCTCCATTTCTTCCCCAGTTCTCTCTTTAATTTTCTTCCAAAACAATGCCCTTCCATAGCCTTAACCAATGATGGGATTCAAATAATTTAACAACCAGTTATCTGCCCTAATGATTTCTTCTGATAACTAGTTCACCAAACTGCTCAGAAAGTTAACAACCGGTTCTCCTGAACTGGTGCGAACTGGCTGAATCCCACCACTAGCCTTAACCGTCCCTGTAGTTCATATGTACGAGTTGTATAAATCCATTTCTCTCTCTTACAATTTTCAAACAGTTTACCTTTTAAAATCCATCCTTTGTGGAAAAAAAGAATTGATCATGAATTTCTGTTGAAACCCCCAAGAAGGTGCAGCCTTGACCACAATTTGCAGCAAATCCCATGTTAAAGTTATAAATATTAAAAACACCAGTGTGCTAATTTTTTCCAGATCTTGAAACAACATCCTTTCACATTCTTTCAACATGCAGGTCTGATTGGTGAAATGTACATATGTTGTCAAACAAAGTGAAGTACTTGTCAACTAGTGGAACTTGCTTAAGGGTGAGACGCTGCAACAGATCTTTAGAGAGGACCTTATGTTTTATCCTGTAAAATTGTATTTGTAGAGATAGTAGCAGCATCAGTGCATTCATTTGGCTTTTAACCTTGAAAGACAAATCTTATTCTTGCCATTAATCATCTGAGGACTCTGATCTTAGAGAGAAATGGAAAACTATACAGAATTAAAGAAGGTTTTTGAATATGTCTTTAAATAGGTCTATACGGATTTATAGTCTCTCAAATTGGATGTCATTTACCCAACAATTTCTACCATACTGTGAAAGGGTGTTTAATTCAAAGTATCTGCTGTATCCATTTGAAGATATATCATAGCTCAACTACTGCCTCCAGATATGCATCTTAGCTACACATAGTAAAAAGAGATTTTGGAGGGTTGCAGACAACTACTGTATTAGCACATCATACTATGCAAGACTAACAAAGGATAATATTTATGTCAAGGTCCTTGGTGCTCTCTGAGCTTGCTTGTTTTCTTGCATACTATGCAATGCTTGACAATAATAATTTTACCAATAGAAGCAAATATTTGTAGCTCAGGGTTGAATTGTGGAGTCCTTGGTGCTAGCTGAGCTTTATCGTTTGCTTGCAGATGTTTTATTACCCAACTAGGTAACATTATCAGTTTTAAAAATGCATACATGTATGGTTGTATACACATGAAATAATAGAAGATTCCTAATATGTCAACCTTATTTGATAAAGCAGATATTTGGAGTAGGAATATCAGTGAAGCAGCTTAGAAGAGATAACTTTCCAAAGATAAGCTTTATTTTCTGTTGTTCTACCTGGCAAAACTAGACCTGGAGGTTCTAGAGGGTGGTTGTTTGGAGTAAGCTTAAATAAGACTTCCCAACAGTAGGAGCTGTTTAATTATTAATTTGTTCTCGACTTGGTGAGGTTGCCTTTTTTCTTTCATGATTGGACAATCATCTAACAAGATGACAGCCTACATTATAAATCTTGGACTGGAAAGAGAGATGGACTAGGTGATAACAAAACTCTCCAAATCTTTTTCAACTCTGGAATTCTGTATTTCACTTCATAAGCTGAACTATTTGTTGTTCTTCAATCATTAAGTCGTGTCTGACTCTTTGCAACCTCTTGGACCACACAACCAAGCCCCTCTGTCCTTCACTGTTTGCTGGAGTTTGCCCAAACTCATGTACCTTGTGTCAATCACACTATCTAACCATTCCACCCTCAGCCATCCCCGTCTGCTTTTGCCTTCCATCTTACCCAACTTCAGGGTCTTTTCCAATAGATGCTCTCTTCTCATTCGGTGACCAAAGTAGTTGAGCTTGAGCCTCAGTATCTGTCTTTCCAAAGGACAGTCAGGGTTGATTTCCTTAAGCTGCAAATGCACAAATGCACAGGTAGAATAGATGTGGTACCTTGCTCAATAGTAGTAACTCTGAGAGGGATCTCAGAGTCCTAGTGGACAGCCATTTAAATATGAGCTAGCAGTGTGCAGCAGCTGCCAAAAAAGCTAGCACAGTCCTAGGCTGCATAAACTGAGGGATAGAATCAAGATCATGTGAAGTGTTAATACCACTTTATAATGCCTTGGTAAGGCCACACTTGGAATATTGCATTCAGTTTTGGTTGTCACGATGTAAAAAAAAGATGTTGAGACTCTAGAAAGAGTGCAGAGAAGAGCAACAAAGATGATTAGGGGACTGGAGACTAAAACATATGATGAACAGTTGCAGGAACTGGGTATGTCTAGTCTAATGAAAAGACTAGAGGAGAGATGATAGCAGTGTTCCAATATATCAGGGGCTGCCACAAAAACGAGGGAGTCAAGCTATTCTCCAAAGCATGAGAAGGCAGGACAAGAAGGAATGGATGGAAACTAATCAAGGAGAGAAGCAACCTAGAACTAAGGAGAATTTTCCTGAGAGTCAGAACAATTAATCAGTGGGACAACTTGCCTCCAGAAGTTGTGAATGCTCCAACACTGGAAGTTTTTTTTTTTTTAATGTTGGATAGCCATTTGTCTGAAATAGTATAGGGTTTTCTGTTTAGGCAGGGGGTTGGACTAGATCACCTCCAAGGTCCCTTCCAACTCTGTTATTCTAAGCTGAAGTAATACTGTGCCAAATTTTGTCTTGCAGTTTCTATCCCAGTGGAAAATGAGCTCTGTTTTCTACCATTATCTACATTTTTGAATGCATATTTTTCCTTTGTTTTTGATGCAGTTGTACAGCATTTTGCTTTGAAAGAGCAAGGAAATGATCCCAATGGTTGTTTTCTTTTACATATTTTTCAATCACTCTGAAGCCTCCCTCACCAGTCTCACTTCCAAACTGAAAACCCCACAAAAGAAGTTCCTTCTTGAGATCTTTCTCTGGGACTTAACTGAAGTGTGAGGAACCAGGGAGGCTGCAGACTGCTGGAAAGAGGATTGTATAATATATATAAAAAAAATGTAGCATTCACACACACTTCTCGGCCATCTGGTAACTAAATAAGAATGCCATAGTCCACCCTTGAGAATTAAATTGAAATTCTTTTCTCCTTTGGAAAAGAGTGAAAATAAACCCTCACATTCTATTTAGACTGACAAACCTAGGAGAATTATTTTTTTCATCATTATTCAGGATTCTGATTCCAGGGGAAGTGTTATTTTGTTGAACACTTGGGCATTTCTTCATGCTATTTTTCCTCTATAACTTTTTTGTATTTTGTATTCAAAACATTACAATGCAAACTCCAAAAAATGGGAGTTTGGAAAGGAAAGGAAAGGAAAGGAAATGTAAAAGTGAAACAAAACTAGACAAGACTACACAAAGAGAAAATAATGTGCCTTAAAAGGAAAAACAAAACAAACCTATACACAAATTGTTTCCCCTAATTGAATAATGATAAATATATTTCAAAAATAATAACCTCTCCTTGCAAAGCAAGCACACATATAAATTTCTAGAACACTATTCACCCAAGGTATTTGGCTTGACATCTATCCACTATATAGAAAAAAGCCACAGTCCATAAAGCCAACAGCAAAATTAAACTACTGTTTGGTTCTGTTCAGATTTTTTTTATTTTAATGTTTAATTTTTCTTTAATTTTTAATGTTTAATTTTTGTGCTGATCCATGACTGTAATAAATACCGTGTTTCTCACAAAATAAGGCTGGGCCTTTTTTTTTTTGAGCCCCGAAAAAATGGCTAGGCCATCTTTTCGGAGGTGACTTAATTTCTTCCCCCCACGCGCACCTCCACCTAGAGTGCCATGCGCACTCACCTCACCACAAGGCCGCTTCTATCAGCCGATAGAAGTGCCCTGAGGTCAGAGTCACCAGCCGCTTCTATCCTCATGGCAAGGCATGGGTATGCATCAGGTTCCCAACTGCAAACTCAATCACGTACGTATGCCGTTGTCAGAGTAAATATCAGACGATCTCAAGATCCCCACTGCATTTCTGCTTCCCAAGCCTGCTGCTCTTCTTCGTCCCCTCAGATAGCCCTATTTCCCCCCCGCCACATGATTTCCCACTGCAACCACTTGGATGGAATGGGTTGCAGGAAGGTCGCTAAAGAAGCTGATTCCACCTATCACCTGCAATGGGCAGTTCTGGGCCCCTCCGTTTAGGCTGCCAACTAAGGGAACTAGCAGTTTACTCAATTGCTCAACTGGTTTCAAAGGGAGATCGCTGGGGGATCTTTGTGCCCCTTGCCATCCACTAGTGTCTTCGAGGGGGAAGGTATGCTTCGAGGGGGAACACGGAGATTGTTGTCTGTAAAACTGCAAGCTTTCTCCTACCCCCTTCTCGAGGTTTTGCTTGCAGCCCAACCACTGACAAAGTGGTTGAGTCTGGCTTCAGCTCTCCCTTGTGTGCTTGGTGGGGTATTTTGGCATCTCTTTTTCAGACAGTACAAGGGCGAGGGTAATCCACAAATATAGTTTTGGCTTCTGCACAGACATTGTAGTCTGTGGCGTGGTTTGCGCAAATACAGTACCTACCTTGCCCGTTCCTGTAGTTTGCCCATAGAATAAGATGATACACATCTCTTACATCTTCCTAGATATTCCAGGACATTCAAATAACAGCTGATAGAAGCATCTGGTTGATTCTGCCCTCAGGGAGTTTCTATCGGCCAATAGAAGTGGCCTTGTGGCGAGGAGAGGCAATTCTGCCCACAGGGCGCTTCTATCGGTTGATAGAGGCGAGTCTGCCTGCGGGATGCTCTAGCCGAGGCTACCTGCAGGGGGCTCCTAAAGGCAAGTTTCCCCCTGTCATTCCCCCCCCCCCATTTCTCTTTACCTCGTATAGTTCAAGTGATGTGAGAAATGGTGGGGAACGCATGGTTTAAATAGGCCTAAATTTTGGGGAGGGGCTTAA